TAATACAGTGCATAAAACTGTAAGAACGGCATGCAAGATGTTGTGGGCTGCGCTGAATCAAAATAAGCCCGGATGTTCAAGACATTAATAGGCTGATCTAAATGTGCTGTAACATTTCACGCTAAGTGCACTGGCGTAAGTCAACTAAAACGGAATCGGCTCAATACTGTGACTGTTGCGCTTTAGTTGTACCAAGAATGCAGAGCTATTTCAATTCAGAGTTGTAAATTCTTGCTCATACAATGTGTTGAAACCTAACTAAAACAATTGTACAGATGACGAGTTTCAATGCTTGGCCACTGAAACCGAAGAAAACCGATCCTGTCCCCGGCAACACCATCCGAGTCCCGTCCATATGTATAAGAGTAAGATCACTTATGCTAACTGACTCATAATATCTGCGCCATTTACTCTGACACATCCTGACTTCCTAACCGGGAAAGTTGCATCCCAGGTGACTGCCTTTAACCCATTCATAGTTGTTACTCCCAACGGTTTGGTCATGACACCAATAGCTAAGAGCCTGAGAAATTCCAGTACGGAGAAAAAGCAAATAACTTACGTATCTGTCGCATCAATGGACACCTGCGAGCAACACCAGTAAGTTCATCATCTGCACCGGGCACAAACAGTGCGACGCAGCTTTCATGATCGTTTCCAGTACTGACTGTCAAAATAGCCAAATCGGCAACGACAACTCGCCAACCGACATTTGCTAGACGAACCCCAGCTGCCTGAGCTTCTGTGTGCAAAAGCATTCCGGAGTCCAACTCTGGCACAATGAAGGGCATGCAGCATGATAATCCAAACTAATGGAATTTCCTTTGCAATGCGATTGATATTCTGGTTGAGCCCACCATGTTGAGACGCATAGATTGTCGCCCGACCTTACTGCAGTATGAAGAATCTCATATTCTTCGAGTAACTCTGAACTCAACAGGCGTGACGGAACCTGTCTGTTCTTAGTTGTTCGCGCTGGAAACTCAGCGAGCATGATACACATATTACCACGTCTTACTTAGGCGCTGCCAAAAATGACGGCGAGAAAACTATAATTAAGTGAGGTACTTCGCAGCCAGTTTCCGAATCAGATAGTCGTCCACATGCCCGGAAAAGCACTAGACTTCAGTTTCAGCCTGTTGGGCATCGTCAATAGTGCGCATCTATCGGATCCATCAGGATTCGAACCCATGACCACCAGCGGCTTGAACCGCCAGTCAGCAGCATGTGCCACTGGGTCAAGGCAGACAGCTACCGACCGCCACGCTTTACAAACAAAAATCCCCTACTCATGAGTACATCGCAAACTATATTTGTTCATGGTATTCCCGAACTTCCCGATTCTCATAATCACGTATCGCCGCCAGGTGACTGAGAGCAGTCGTGTTACATCCGCGAAGATCACTCTTCGAACAATGTTATCACAAAATCGTTGACAAGATTTCTTTCATTACCTTGTTAACAAGGCTGTGATCCAAGCTTACTTAAATTGGCAAGACAGCTGAAACTTCACTCTTCACGGGTGCATAAAAGCGAATTCATGACTTAACTTGTCTCAGAAAGCATGACACATGTACTATGGTATAACTGGTAGCAATTTAATGCGAGGTTGAGCGACGAATTTCGGCAGAAAACAGCCGGTGCATGGCCTTTAATTGTCACCATTTTGATGGAACTTACAACCTAACTAAATTCATTTTCTCCACACTCCTGACGAAACCCCGACGCAACAGCACACACGGCACACAACAAGACAGGGTAACGCACGAGCGAATATCCTGATTTGGAACATGGTGAGTCCATGTACCCCAACTGAAATTCAACAATAAACGACTTACCTAAGTTCGGCTTAAAACCAAAAACGAATACAACATCAAAAAAATACACTTCATACATCCGAAACACCATCCTGTTTGTAAGCTAACGCCCAAGGCTTTATTAGTGATTTGGTCGAACTTAAAAATCGCCAAGTTTTACAGGCGCGGGATCTTATTGTGACTACAGAGACCTTTTGAAAGTTGCGATAACTGAAAATGAGATCAGAGTCGCTTCTTCGGAAAAATAGAACTGGAATGGTTGACGGTGTTATTACTAAGTAAAAGGCTAACCACCGATGTGAACTAATTGAGCACCCAGAAATCCGCACCACTGATTCACTATGACTCCTGATGTGGTTGGGGGACACAGAAGCTTTACTTATTGCCTTAAGTTATCGTCCATTTCAAAAGTGGACTGCAGATTGATCCACGCGTTGAAAATTGCGCTGAAGAAGTCATGAATGTACATGGCGGGAGACTGGTGTGCACGACATGGAAATACCAGCAGCCAGTGGCGCACAGTTCCTGTTTGCGGGAACCGATTTCCACCTGCACTCCGTACATCCACAGTATCTCCCCCCCACCAGATTTCGAACTGTTAACAGGCTATTGACACTGGATCGTGTGTTCAACAACGAAGAACTCATAGTCAGCGGAACAGTTAAAAGCACACTCTTGGATCGCACTTAAAAGGTTACTGAAATGTTTGACTCTAAATGCTATGCGGAATTCCTAAGAAAGAGGATGATAAAGTGTGTGCTGTTAGACCCTTTAATGTTATCCACATGTGTTTTTATACATATTGAAGCTTCTCAATTAAATATCCCTCAGTTGTCGCCTGGACAAAGTTCGCAAAGACGTTTGGCATACTGGTAGGGTACGCATCTGAACCAAAATCTTTTCACCGTTAAGTCAAATGCAAGTCATTGCTGAGGATTACGAGAACAAGCGAGCCCCTTCTTAAGAGTCTGAAATGATGAATTCACAAAGGCTGCCGGAATGCCGAACCATGGAATACACAAGTGGACCAGAGCAAATTCGGTATGAAATGAATCCAGGAAGACTAGGTGGCGTTTTGGCAGGATTTAGTGAAGCGATTCCACCAGAACCGCAAAATGTTATGTATGCACGTTAATGGTGTTATTAAAGTTCAGAGCAGAATCAGAGTACTAGTTAAAACTGACGTGTATATGGGTTCAGCGATGAATTCAACTGATCTTATAGTTTCATTAATCCCATTCGTTTTGGAGGGAGACGAAGCCAAGTATTCTCCTCATTTCTAATATCACTGTCAGGAGTATCTAACATCGACTTAACTGCAGAATTATCGTTGAAGCAGATGCTAACTCTACGTACCTACGGCTCTCTTAATTCAAACGCTTTAATTCCAATGCTCTGTATGCACTAGCCAGTGATACAACACAAGCACTGACCATTTTCTATCAATGCTATCTAGAGAAGATGGAAATATCACTAATTTGGAAGCTCGGAGTCATGTGTCTTATTCACAAGGGACGTGTCTCACCGATGCTACCAATTACCGTCTGTTTAAGCTGCTTCCTAGGCAATCCAAGGTATGAAATCAATCACGACAGATGCGCTGATGCAGTAACTTGAATAATATACCTTATTAGCTGCTGAGCGACATGGCTTCCGCCAAACTCCAGTACTTGTCACATATAACTTGCACGCTGCAAATAGACTGAAGCTGTTGATGGTGGGGTAAGCATCGATGTCATTTATCTGGTATTCTCAGAAGCGTCTGATGGTTTAAACCATGGATCAGCAAATTATGGCCCGAGGGCCGGATCTGGCAAGCCAACTGTACTCCTATTTGTCTGATGAAGCAAATGAAACCTGAAGAGTTGTGATACAAATTACATTTGACAATACTTGTCGCATTACTGGTGGCCTTACAGCGTTTGAATATTGACGTGGGCCAGCTCATGGTTGGTAGTTATGACAACCTACTAACCTACTAACAGTGATCCTACAGTTTCGGACGGTTGTTGTGGGTGATCAAGTAACTCACTAATCCGCGAAACCTTATGGATTTCCGTTAATCTAACGTTAGTAGTTTTCGGTTGCTCAACATCCGTGATGCACGTATACATAAAACGCCGCGCAGTAAAACGCCGTTAGTTCGTATGTGTCATTCTGACACCGTTTGACCAATATATTTGGAATGAATTGCAACGTATTGTTACGGAATTGTGATGGAAGCTCAAATTTTGGAGGTGCATACAGTTTGGTCATGTTGGATGTAGATGAGCCGTACCGTTATAGTTCAACCTCTGTGATATATATATATATATATATATATATATATATATTTGATGCTTGCCTTATGCTGAGGTTGATGTTACGTACATGATGCTCCTTCACCGCAGTTGGGGCCAAAATGATGTACACTTAAACCAGATCTTTTTAATCTGGATAAAAGTTATTCCACTTTATTCGCTTAGTTCAATTCAGTACCCTTGCTGTATATGCTACTTCCATTTTGCATTTTGTCTGCCTTAAAGTCTATGTTGTTTGTCTGCTATCCCGGACGTGGCTGCTCTTGCTGTGCATGTTGACAAGAGGCCTACCTGTCTGACCAACACTCTCTGCTTTGATTGCTGACTTCAAGAAACCGTGAATCGTTTCTGGGGGGCGGGGTGCACGGTCTTCGTGGCCGTGCTATGCTCAAGTGTGGTTCCATCCAGTTTAGAGCAGACTACGGTACATCCACCGCCTTGTGTACGTCTGGTACGAATGATTCTCTACATAGGTAAACAGGAATGCAGCTGCTGTGCATGTTGAATGATTGTTGGTCGTTGAAGAAAAGTGACTCCCATCCATCCATCCAATTCCTTCTGGTTTACATTGGATCCGAGGTATGTGGGTGGTGCAGCGCAAGCCACCCAGGTGCAGGCCTCCTGTGGCTGTCCTAAGGAGGTCGCAGTGACAGACACATCTGGATTTTAATGCCGCTAGCCATATATAGATTGGCTACTAAAAAGTTCGATATTCTCTCTTTTGCTTTATAATTTTCAGTGGTTCACACATGAGTTAATGGTTAAAAAACGATTTATTATCATTCAAAGCTTCCTTGCGACTTTTAGAGAGGAATTAAAGGAAATATTATCTACAAGTATGTATGGAATTTATATTTAAACAACCCATTACATTTTATGTCAGGTAACGAACTACATCACGTCGTTGACCAAGAATATGGAAAAAAAGCTGGATGCTTCCTTGGGTCGATTAGAAGTTCCTCTGGATTGCCGTTTCTCTTCCGTTCGCACCAAGGAGACCAATCTAGGAAATTTTCTCTGCGATATCACTTTGACGGCAGTGGATGCCGACATGACCATTATTAACTCGGGTGTTTTTCGTGCGGACCGCATTATACCTGCCGGAGATTTTCTTCTGAGAGACCTGGTCAGTATACTTCCAATACTTGATACACTCGTGCTGTTGGAAGCGACAGGAAAACAAGTGCTGGAAGTCTTGGAGAATGGTGTATCTCAATATCCTAAACCAGAAGGTAAGTTAAAATATGTGTGTCTATGCTTGCCAGCTAGCTGTATCTTGATAATATATTCTAAGATAAAAACCCGAACTAGGGTAATAGTTATGCTATAAGTCATAAACTGAATCCCCTATAGTCTTGATCACGAGGTACTGTACGTCCGCTTCCACTTTACCTCTGCCCGTGCGTCTTTGTGATAAAGCAGTAAACAGCACTTTGAAACAACGCTCCCCACACAGTTCGCGACATCTGATACGTAGTAGTCTTGGTCTTCAATGTCAGTTCCCTGCTCCCCATAGCTCTTGGTAGGTGCATCTTCCATATTGCCAACCTCCATTCGGGCTGACAAGCTGTAGTACACGAACCATCGTGCACTTTCGATAACAGATTAGCCTAGCGCGTTCCATGAGCTACTTGCAATCGAGGTTCAATGTTATTCGAGAAACCGTTGGCCACGACTGGGCTGATATCCTCTGGTGACAGATTATAGCTTCCAGATTATAAAAGACTTTACCTATGCAAGGCAAATTACCACCAACTGACTGGCGTAGAAAACAGTGACATAATAGAATGATCCGCATGACGGACTGGGCTGAGGCTTCATGGCCCATAATACATGTACACAAGCAGCTCTAAAAAGAACAGAACATACGATAAACTGTTGATGGCTCATATGCTACTATGCCACACCGGCACACGGCCAGTTATTGCATGGAAGTGCCGGTGAAATCTTTCGAGGGAATACCTTGCATGGAACAGGTCCCCTAGGGATGGTTCCACGAGTGGTCATATTATTTTAACTGGACATCTGTTTAAAGCTGCATACGTTGTTGTTCCTGGTTTTTAATTTCCCTAATGCCTTAATCCTGTCAATTAGTTTAGTACTTGTTTTGGATCCATTGTAAAAAGCGTGAACTAATTGTTTATTTTTTACGATCCTATTGTACACGTTGATCAGACCACATAGTTGGACTGTACCTCGAATCACCGAGGAATATACCATTTATTTATTTATTTATAGAACCTTGCTATTGTTGTCCAGCTACGATCACGACCAGACTCAGAACCAAGGGTTAAATAAGTCCATCAGATTAAAGAGCTTAAATTAATAAATCAACGTTATATGGCTCACCAGTGCGAGGCACAATCCAACTGAATGGTCTGATCAATACATATGGCGGGGTCACGTAAAGCAGGTAATTGTTCGGATTTTTGGAGTAAAGCACACAGTAATGTAACAGAAAGACTGTGAAACTTGCGAACAATAATAAATGGTTATAGTCAGAAGTCCACTTGAAATATTTCCTTTATCCTTGGAACCGTCTCCGCACATACATACCCAATCTGGCTGTGTGCCGGCATGGCAAAAGAGCAGGTAAACTGTCACCAAGTTAACAAACTTCATGTTGATTTTTTGTATACGTTAAGGGCAATCAAGCCCACGATCCGTTCCTTCATACAGCTCTTTCAAGCATGAAATTTTTAAATAAAGGCCAGTTAGTCATTGGCGATGCTCCTTGCATTGCTATAAATTTTAGCATGGAAGCTTCAATCTTTCATTTCAGGAGATCAGTCTAGCCTTGGCCAACAAAGAAATACGAATAAATATAACGTATAAATGCTCAAAAATAAGAAAAAGAGCAGTAATGCGAATAAACGAACAAATGGCATGTCACATCAGCGCAGAAAGGCTCGATGGATCACACGATTAAATTGTACTGCGGGAAAGCTGAAAACAGAAAACTACTCATAGTATCATTGGGCCTGAAAGTATTAGAAGAATTTGTTGTCATCTTTTGTTGCAGGTATTCGAACAACAACGGATTTAATATCTCAAAGCATTGAAATTTTGTAGGGGTTCCTTAGCTATGGCTTCCAAAGAAAATGTTTTTCATTTCATTACAGATATACTAGGTAAATTTTAGAACACATACTGCAACTTGGTCAGTTTAAGGTGGGGATTACACAGAGTTATTGTCACCATAACAAAAAATATGTGCCGTTCTTGATCACAGATCAAATTTCAGTCAGTAGGAAGTACATTTGAATGCGATCAGGGTAGATAAGAAAGTGCATTACAAAGTGTATGAATGTGGTTGGAACTAAGCAAGGTGAAAGATATAGATTTGGCTGTTTCCCGCACCAAGACGTGCTTTCAATAGATGTTCTCTGGTGCCATATATGTTCTGTCCTTGTTATTACTTTTTCATCATTATTGAGTTTTAAATCTGAGCAACAGCTGAACGAGCCTGTTTAGACTGAATCACCCCTAGCCTAGATATCTTAGCCTGTCGCAATCCTAAACATTTTGTACATGCTTTAAAAAGTGTTTCCCTCTATCACTTGACCAAAATGGCTTTATCGTCTAATTGAATATGCAAAATATTCATGCAATCTAATCTTGTTGGGTATTTTTCCCACATGGGGCGATACATAGGAATGTAGAAATAGTTTTTGGGCTAGTTCTGAACTTAGGCAATGAGACTATGCATTGTTTGTCTTGCGTCTCATAATTTCTAGCTTGGGAATATTCGTCACAACTAGACTCAGCCATCCAACAAACACACATCTAGGAATGCGCTGGACGACCTTTTCGCCCTATTGGGACTCATTCTTAACGCTCACCCGCCAAATGCCGTCGGATCCGAACCCACCAACTTACACTTGATAGCCACTGGTTTATGCCACTGAACCATGAGCGACGGTAACGCACGACCATGACTGATTTCTAACTGCGATATAGCACCGCTCATTCTCCACTGTCATGCATATCATGAAAGCGCAGTGGACAGGGCTGGCCACCAGAGCTCCGAGTTTCCTTGCGAGCCGCCCCCAAATGAGGAGGCGTGTAAGGCTTTAGGGCAATTACTGTTTATAAATGAGTAGTGGATGCAGCTGTTGTGTTTTGGTGGGTATTGTTCGCAGCTAGTCTCAGTCAGACTGCCACTCCACATCCAGGCAAGCGCTAGGCGACCATTTCGTCCTTTGGAGACTCGTTAGTAGTGTGAACCCACGGTCGTCACACATGACTTTGGGGGCATAAACTACTGAATCGTATAAGTAATGATGTGGGTTCGAGTCCGGTAGGTTTCGGCAGGCGCGCTCTATTGATGAGTCTCAGTAGGACGAAAGATCCTTGCATCGCTTTCCTGGATGTGTGATGGCTGTCTGGATGGGTCAAGCTGCTAGGAATATTCTCAAATACAGCAAACCCTGATACTGACTAGTTAACAGCATTTTTCAAAGACCACACTGTGTAAGTTCCAAATGTTGCTTTGCGCCACAAAGATTTGTGATGAAGCACATATTTAAATGCTATCTTCGTTAATGCAGAGGGTCTCGATTCAACTTGTTACACCAATCTCTATACCGAAGTGTGTTTGTACAGCCAAATGTATGCTTTACAAAGGCACTTTTATCTTTTTCAATACTCTCAAGTCATGCTTTCGCAGATTGTCCAACGTAGCACAAATGTATGCATGCAAAGGTATAGCAATGATTTTGCGTGTAATCAGTCATTGTTTCTTTCAGGGTTTATTAGGCGAGACACAAGCCCAATCGATTGTTTAGCATTTGTCATGATGAAATTTGTACGTTCGCTAAAGTTTAACGAACTGGTGAATCACAAACCTAAGTCACGGATAGACTGGCTAATGGAAATGCACTCTTGGTAAAGCCTGCAAAATCTTGTTTCTTCCTGGCATTCATACACCAGAAGCAGACACTTCGATGTTGCAAAAGTCATCTGACACATGTTAGTCCATCTCCCAATAGCTTTTATATTGATTTGGATATCATCAACTTCGGCGGTAGATTGCAAGTTTGAGAAGGTTTGGACAACCTGAACAACCGCCAGCAAACAAATGAAACGTGTCAAAGCGTATAACTGAGACAAGGTCATTTGAACACCTAGGGAGGATTAAGTACCTGACACACTACCCTGCACCACTCCATTAGTAACCATTTGGGATGAATAGATGTTTCCATTTCTATTCACATATTGCAATCGTCTTAGTAAATAGGATTGGGGCCAGGAAGGAAGTGGATTTGTTAAATCTAGTCTACTTAATTTGTAGGGCAGCCACCTGTGAAAATAAATGAATACACTTTGACTCTCACCAATGCGAGGCACCGCTTTGTTGGTATGTTCACTGAAGTGCAATCAGCTAAAAATCAAAAACCAAAAGCTGCTCCAAAAAGTCCAAAGTGGACACTCATTGTTACTTGCGCAGGCACGGAGGTTAAATGATGTCTTTCAAAAAGAGTGTTCTTTGTGAAGCATATTCAGATGTTTGCCAAAAACAAGTGCTCATAGCGGTTAAAGGCGGATTAGAAAAATCCATATCGTTAGGATGATGCGACGGAGTACAATAATACCAGATTGGTCAGATGGATTCCAAATGTGTTGTCTCATGTGTGCGCTGTAAGAAAATTTTGACGAAAATTGCGGTTGGCTTTCTATTGAAGGGTTAAGCAGTTGCAAAAATGACCGTAATAGAATGCTTTACCATTCAGCCGGCATTTTTTAATATATAAGGGGAAAGTAGGACCAGCTAAAGTGCGCACTCATGGTCACACAAATCAATGCTAAGTTATGCATGTACGTAATTTGATGAGTCAAGCGCTGGTCTAGGAACAATGTAAAGCAAGATGAGTAAGTATAGATCAGTAATGTGCTTTGATTGGAGAAGTGCGAGTGCTCAACAGTAGCAAAGGCACTTTTAATTATCACAACAAAACGTTTACTTACAAGCGAATAAAAGTGAATGAACTTTGAGGGTCATTCGGAAGTACACTTTGTGTGTGTGGATTACGACACGCAATCTCAATGTTGACCGCAATTACCATTGAAGTGAACATTGGTCTTTCAGGCTTACAAGACCCAATTTCTATCTGCAGCAATGACGAACGTTTGCAAACATTCATGTACAGCAATGGGATCGCAGTTTGCACCCATCAGCCAGTTCTTTAGTGACATGGTTGGGACATTTTGTATAAAACCCGATTAC